AAACAAAAGAAAGGGTGACTGAAAATGTTTAGATACAGTAAGTTTTGACAGAAGTCGTAACGACGATTTGTCTCACTCGTCATTCTTTCTTCGTTTAGAATTAATCACTCCCAGAAAATAACAGAATAACGCAAATAAAATTAATCCAATGATAGATTCTTTTGACTGTCGACTGAGCCAGTCGCCGAAACTTTCCATTACATTTTCGGGAACGTTTGTCTTTTGCTGTTCAATTGTCTTCGGTGTCTTCGGTGTCTCTGGTTCTCTGCAACTGACAGAAATTTAGATTCTAGAATTTCTGCTTCAGATTAGCTGGTCTGGGCCACTGTTTTTTTCTTTTTTTCCTTTCTTGGTAAAATACAGTAAAATATAATAATTCAACAGTTCCTAGTTGCCAGTGGGATCTACTGCATTCGGGAAAATGACTTTGAAGTTGATCGTGACTGCTCCGTAGATCTCGCATCCAGCATTAACTGCTCAATAGGTGGCTTATTTGGATCGCATTCCAAACCCGGCGTTACCTTCCCTGGAAAGCACAGGTCGATGTAACAAAATAAAAAAAAAAGGATATGTCGCAATAGAACACTGCCGAACTGGGATTTCTGCATTGAATGGCGCGACCCAATACCGATGGTAAATACTAGAAATCGGCTTAGCTCAGTCTGGTCGGGAGGCCTGCTGCAATGACTAAGGGTGGCCAGTTGAGGGCTGAAAGCGCGGGAGAGGGGATGAAAGCCAGGAGCAGTGGTTTAGGTCTCAAGGTCGTAGCGGAGGGGATGGGCCGGCTCACGGACTTGAAAGGAGATAAGATCTTGCTTCGGGGCAGAAAATGAAAATGAGAGCGCGATTCATGGAAAAGAAAGCCTGTGTAGGTCTTTTATGCTCAGCATGAAAGCTGATGCTGGGGAGAAGGTAGCAGTCTTGAAGGCGGCATCTAGAGTCTTGCCGAGACAAAAAGCCTAGTCTTGCCGAGACAAAAGGCCTAGTACCACGACTTTCGCAACCCAAACCCGAATCCGAGAAGAGTGCACATTGCTCGACCGAGTTGAGCTGAATTTTAATAGTAGCTCTACCGGTGCTCTTTACTGTTTTTCTCCTTCATCGGCGCCTTTAGCGTTTCTGAGTTTGCTCCATCTTTAACAGATCCCCGCTGCACCTCCAATTCTATTATGGGCAGCTTCACCACAACACTTTTTGTTCCCCCGACAGTTGCGGCCTTTTCCAGGCAAAACGGAAAAAGAACAGCTACTTTCTTAGCACAGTCTGCCCCTTCTTACCTTTTTAGCCTTTTGGCAACCGTAGTTAATCATTGGCTGAATCATACGATTTCTAGTATTCACGAATTTGAAGAAATCAACACCGAAAAAACGAGATGCAGTGGACGCACCAATAAGTCTTGTTAAAGTACGCTTTTCGTTTGTGGATGTGTCGCCGAGAAAATCCAGAACAAGAAGCATTCTTGGCTGCTGCGCGTCAGACCATTGCTCGACATTTTCCTCACGACGCCATGTGAGGATGCATTTCGATGAGCCATGTCCATCGATGCGACCTTTTGCACTTGGTAATGCCTGTTCAGGAAACCATTTTTGGAGGAAAAATTTGCATTACGATTGATTTTATATCGACCCTAGTACTGCCCTTAAATTTGCCTCTAGCAGCTTCTTATCCTTCAGAAAGAGCAGCAGATGGATCATTTGCGGCTCAATAAACACAGCCGGCTTGTTTTTAGCCATAGTTTGCGTGTCTACAATGCAACTATCGTTACTATCGCTACTAAAATTAACCCAGGCTGGAACGCACCAGGCGGGCCGGTGCGATTATGCGTTTTTGCACTTTTCGTGCC